ACAGCCAGGTAAGGAGACAGGTGGAGCACACTGAAGGGTACAAGGTGGGTGGTCTAGCACACAGCCAGGTACGGGGGAGACATGTGGAGCACGTTGAAGAGTACAAGGTGGGTCAGCATACAGCCAGGTAAGGAGACATGTGGAGCACACAGAAAGGTACAAGGTGAGCAGGTCAGCACACAGCCGGGTAAGGGGACGTGCATAGCACACTGAAGGGTACAATTGGAAAGGGAAAGGGAACTGGGGGAGAAGAAGGGTTGTGGTCACTCCTAGGGGCAGAAAGTTGACACAAGGGAGCGGAGCCCAGGGTTTGGGTTCAGAAGTCCTGGCCATGTCCCATTTCGCGGTGCGCCCAAGTGCTCACTGCTCGCTTTCTGAGTGAATGGGGTACAGGGGACTTGTGCACACTCATGTTAACATATGGTGCAGCCCAAGAGTTAAAGCTGAGAGGTCAGCTTGGACAAGGTTCTCACGTGGATCTGATGCCCGCTGGATGCCCTAACACCACTGGTCTGAGCAGACCTGGGATGGACAGAAACCTCCTCCCACAATTTGATCACGCACATAGGTGAACCTCAAGATGCATCCAAGGGAGCTGGGGCACCAGCATGGGTCTGGATCCCACTGCTTTTGTCATTCTGCTGCCCACTTTCCCAGCTCACCCTTGTCCACACCCTCCCCAGAGGCACCTGAAAATATCCACTTCCCCACCCTGAGCCCCACAAGGTTTGACCAAGGCTGAATCTAAGGTGATCAACCAATAATAGTTCAAGTAGTTGCTGAGGCTGCTTATGTACAACCAAACACCTCATGGGATTTGGTTCCTTGGTTTGGAGACTTAGGATCATGCTTTCATGGGACAACCCACTTAATTGGCCTAATAACGTGTTTTGTGCTTCTATCTCCTAGTTTGTTGCATACAGCCTGGAGTCCTAAAAGCTTGCAAGTGGCCATCCAAGGCACAGCAATTGGTCTCTATTCACCTGGAGCAACAGAGGAATAAGGAAAGTCAGGAATAGCAGGAAGATATGAAATGTGTGGCTAATCGCCTCCATGAACTGCTTCCTTTGCTGAGACCAGAAGAACTGGATGGTGTCCAGCTATCATTACTGAACATTTTGATCAAAGATTCCATAGAAGGATCCTGATCAAAAGAGGGGAAATGCAGAACAGAATTGAAAATTCTCACGGACTCCAGACTTTCTGGAGCCATAGAGGGTGAATGAACCCCTGAGACTATTGCCCTGAGATAATCTGTAAACGTTAAACCAAAAATATCCCCTTAAGTCTTCTTAAAATCTTTGACCATTTTTGTCATTTGTGTTGAACAGATAACCATTTTCTACTTCTTTCAATTTTGTCACCAACTTAAACTTAAAGGGGGTGGAAATCTTGTGAGCCTGGCTCTGGTTCCAGCATATTTAGATCAGTTTTAGGCAGATCATAAGCGTGACACTGTGGTCTGAAGCAGTAAGAATGTACTAGGTAGAAGACAGTGATAGGTTGGAATGCTCGTAAACTCTGGAAATGACAATGGAAATAACTTGACTTTAATGATAATCCATTAACCCATTGCCCTCGAATCGATTCCGACTCATAGCCACCCTGTAGAACAGAGTAGAACTGCCCCATGCGGTTTCCAAGGCTGTAATCTTTACAGAAGCAGACTGCTGTGTCTTTCTCCCATGAAGAGGCTGGTGAGTTTGAACTGCCAACCTCTCTTTTCACAGCCAAGTGCTTTAACCACTGCGCCACCAAGGCTCCTGACATTAATGATAAGAAAAGTATTATCTAATAAGTCTAACGCTTATGTAACAAAACGGATACTATTCATCTAAATTTTGTTGTGTGCTTGCACTGAACTATATCATGTCATACATTTTCTCATTTAATCTTCACAAAAACCCGACTCTTTTCCCCATTGGATAAATGAGAAAACCGAGGCAGAGCTAAGTCAGGCACCTGGTCTGAGGCACACAGTTAGCGTGGGGCGGGCTGAGAACTCAAATCTCAGCGAGGAGACCTGGCTTGCGTGTGCAACTACTGTCTGTGGCTAGAGGTGACAGGTAAATACATATACTCTAGTCCTGAGTTATACGGTTATTTTCAAGAGTCTTTCGCCCCACCTGTCACCTGGAAATCGGCATGCAATAAATTTGGCATTGATCCTTAGTTGTCGGAATTGTCCGACAAATTAGTTTCTATCATGTGAAGACCGTAAGGAAAATGGAGGTTGAGCTAAACATTTTCGGAGGCAACCGATGTTTGCTTTTGAGAGATCCTCAAAGTGGTCATCGTATTACCAGCTGGAAGTAAACAAGCCGGGAAGATCTGACCAAGTCAGCTTTCCTCATCAGCCTCATGATGAGGAAGCTGATGGCTTTTCAAGGGCAGGCCCCTGGAGAACGCACTGCTTACGTTAATGTGCTCTTGGTCCTTTCTCAGAAACCAAATTCATGAACAGAATTTATGGTGTGATTATCTGGCCACAAAATGCTTGTCGTGCTCTATCCAAGGACATACTGTATCTATAGAAATAGTTCTGGACAATTCTTGAGATGAAACTTTGGGGATTTTACGTCATATTTTACCATGCTTATGGTACATAATAAGCCAAATAGGATTGATTAAGTCAATAACCTCTTTAAAAAACTGCCAAGAACGTTGTAAAGCAGCGAGGCTATTACAGAAGAGTCTAAAGAAAGTCCGTGTTTGTTTTTATAAACATCCCGGCACAATGAGCACTGTTAACACATGTGGTTTTATTTGGTGGACCTGGCTCCCTGCAGGGAACTCAAACTTACTGAAAAAATGCAGTGATGTTTTCTTTTAGTAAGGGCCATAGAGAAGTCAGAAGACCTTCTGTAAACAGACTAATGATGACCCTTGGGGGTGAAGCCTCCGCAGAAGCACAATCTACGTATTTGGAAGCGGCCTTGCACTCACGAGGACGTTCCCAAGTTCTCCTCTTGTGCGGGACCAGCAGGGAGGGGGGGCCCCACTTCTGCCTGGGGTGGCAGTAGGGCCCCACGGAGATAATGAGCGGGAAGGTTACTCACCTGTGGTTCTCGCTAGCACAAGATGAGTTCCGGTTCTGTAAAGGACCTTAATCTTATCTGTTATGGATTGAATGTGTCCCCCAAAAATACGTGTTGGAATCCTAACCTCTATACATGTGGACTCATAGTTCCGACTCATAGTGACCCTGTAAGTGGTTAAGTGTTTGGCTGCTAACCAAAAAGTCGGCAGTTCCAATCCACCAGTCGCTTCTTGAAAACCCTCTGGGGTAGTTCTACGTTGTCCTGTAGGGCTGCTATGAGTTGAAATCAGCTCGATGGCAAAGGTACCGGTCTGGTACTATACGTGTGGACATGAACCCATTTGAGAATAGGGGTTTCCTTGTTTTGTCAACGAGGCCATATCAGTGCAGGGTATGTCTTAAGCCAATCACTTCTGAGATATGAAAGGAGTAGTTTAGGCCAAAAGACTAAGGTGAGAGGCCCGGAGTCACTCTCCTCGCTCTTGATTTACTAGCCTGATGCACTTTAGCAAGAAACATACCCTTTCCTACATTCAGTATTCTCATCCATCTGTCCCGTCTACCTCACAGGATCCCTGTGTGATTAAAGGGAGTAATATACCATGTTACATGGTTGAGCACAAATTCAAAGAAGTATGATTGAGCAAACGTTTGGCATAGCCCATTACACATGGGGTCACAAAGAGTAAAAGATCCCAGAAAGAAAACCAAGAGTCAAAACCCAAAATGCAAATTGCGTATACCTTCAGTATCACATATGAAAATATCTTCTAAAACGCCAAACCAGCATCAGAATGGGGCAATATTAGATTTTTCTATAAATTGTCGATTCATTAACATCCATGCTTATGGTGTATTATCCTGAACATCTGGTCCACCAAGTAAAGAGAGAGAACAAAGCCTCGAGTAATTGACAAGAATGGAAATGGAACATGAGAATTAAGCCAGAAGGTCTGCATTTTTTCTGTGTGATAATAAAAAGTTGTCTACTCAACTTTTCAACATACATATAGCAGTCGCCATGGAGTCGATTCTGACTCATGAGGACCCCATGTGTGCAGAGTAGAACTGCTCTATAGGGTTTCCAAGGCTGTGACCTTGAGGCAGCAGATGGCCAGGCCTTTCTTCTGAGGTGCCTCTGGTTGGGTTCCAACCGCCAAGCTTTTGACTAGTAGTCGAGAGCTTAACTGTCTGTGCCACCAGGGGCTTCTTGTATACATATACATCTATATATACCTTGTATATAAAACCAAA